ATCATTGAATTTCCTCAGTGTGTTGGCAATTTCCACAACTTGAAATGCAGCATTTGATTCAATAAGCTGCTGTAATGCCCTCCATAGTAAAATTCTTGGTGAGTATGCAATTTAGCAAGCCATTCTTCTGCCTTAAGCCACAAGTCTTTCATAGCCTTGAACAAATGGTTGGTTACACCAAGAAGCAAGTGCAGCTCCATTGGGGGAAGAATGTTTATGATAAGTCTGTCATCAGATCCTGTCAGAATGGGCTCATGAACTACATTGCCATAGACCTTTGCCTTCCTATCACTTCCTGATGATTTGAAATTATGATATTTGGCTTTGAGTGATCCAATTGTTCTGCTCTCACCACATATCTCCAAGTTCTTTGATTCCATATTGCATCATAAACAAGGATGGGAACTGGTGTGTGATTGAAGTCCAAGGAGAAGGTTTGCTACTTTAAAATCAAAAGAAACAACAAGATCAATCTGATTTGGATTTATGAGTAACCAAATTTTGCTTGAGGCTGTCATGTGACTCTGGTAGATTCTCAGCAGCAGCAATGATTAGTTGTTGTCTAACACTGATATCTTTGACCTGCATTTGTGTGAGAAGTCGTTGTTTGTGGGCAGTTCTTTAAAAGATTCATCTACAATCACACCAAGAGTGAATTTTAGGAACCCATTTCCACCACTTATACCAAGCTTAAAGAAATGACTGCAGAAAATTTTTCTGTACATCAATACTTCATCAATCATGTATTGCATAGATTTGCAGTGAATGACCAGATGACCTCCTTCTGAATTTGCTTGCTTTTGTCCCGTGGGTATTGTACTCTGGGTAAAGAAGTCTAAGAGAGTTTTTCCAAAGCTGTCAAATTTTGACCAAAAATTAGGTTCTACCACTTTGGACTTGGCAATTTGGTTTAAGGTGGATGCAAATTTTTTCATGCCAAAGTTAGAAAATCTAATATTTTGTTGGACATCAACAAGGCTTTTTATAGTGATTGGAGAATCATCAAAAATTTTTCTTGCACAAGTAAACTGAAGAAAACTCAATAGAAAGCAGGCTTGTTAAAATAATCTCAAGTTATGTGCCTTTGGAGCCATCAATGTTTAAATCAAAGCTAAATTAAATTTAAAAAACAATGCAGTCAAAAAAATAAGAAATAAAACAGTACCTGGTGTAACTTGTAAAGAAGAGCCTTCTCCAGGCCTTGAAATCCGTATTGTGCCATTTGAAGATGATTACTTTCTTGAAAGTACTTGAGTAGCAATTTGTTCTGCAGTATATGTATCTTGAGCTGCCAAAAGTCTTATATTTTCTCTAAATGTGGATGGTATGCAGGAATGAGTAAGTCCACGTTCAATAAGGCTTAGGCAGTCAACACACCTTTGAAGCTTCTCTCCTTCATGGTGGGGAGTTGAGAGAGGGTCTTTTTAGTTGAGCTTTGAGTGCCCAATTTGACAAATAAGGCAACAGCAGTCTTGCCCACGAGTTGGTGGTTTCACTGTGATGGATGAAAAATCAAATAAGACTGGAAGTTGTGCATTTTTCCCTGCATCTCTTCTTCTTTGAATTGTCCTACAAGCTTCACAAAGTCCAAGTGGAATCCTGACATCAGATGTTTCCAAAGGCTGATTGTAAATTGTTTACAATCTTTGAATTTGAAATTGTGTCAGTTGATTTGTACATTTGTGGAAACACAAGCAACAAACAGTTTTCCTGCATTCCTCATGATTCTTAGCCCGATTAGGCATTTTAAGTGTTTTTTTTATCAAACTTCTGTTTAGCAGACTTTAACTAAAATGATAGCAAGGCTGTTTCCCGAAAAAAATTGTTTTATTAGCTTTTGTATTATTGTATTATTAGCAATATTCTAATTCCCAAAAATTTTTTATAAAAGAAGAATAAACAATTTTATTATTTGAGTAATAAACTGTTATTTTGTAAAAACATAATATTTATTACTATTTAACATTCACTAACCAAAAAATTAAAAGTTACTGTAACAATGCAAAAAAATTTTGTAAGCTGTCATTTCATTTTGAGAAAAAATAAAGAGAAATTTCAAATTGAATTTATTCTTGCGGACGAAATAGCTTGATTTTAAAATTCCAGAGATGAATGTATCAGGGATGAATGTACTTTTTTTTTTAATTAAATTTGTTATTTTAGGTGCCCCAAGAAGTCCTAACGGTCTTGCAACAGAGCACCGCGGAAGTGCATTTAATCAGAAAGTTCACACATCCTTTCTCACCGTGACGCGAAATATGTCCAAAGCTTGTTTCGAACCTGGATCTATGTGGTAGCAATCTGATGATTCAATAATAGAGTTTCTAATCTAGTGATAAATTTTCATTTTTTCTAAAGTGCGCAATATTTTTTAGAAGCAACTTGACGTCAGGGGTACTGACGTCGAGTTGCTCTATTACCTTTGTTTACCGTGATATTTTTGACAACAGTATAAACATGCAAAAAATTATTGTTTAGTTTCACGATCTAAATTCTTTTAAGAATTTAACTAATTTGAAATATAAAAATTATAAACCTGCGTTTTTAAATTTTATAAAGTTTGTTAAATAAATTTCAATACTTATTTAATTAATATATGCTATGAATCTAATGCTAAAAAGCTGTTTTCAACTGCAGATAAAAATATTTATCGGTCGCTGAATTAAATTTTAAAATATTTTACAATTCTTAAAGTTTTTAAAGATTGACAAGGCGTGTGTTGTTTCTATCGTCTCTTGCTTGATGCATTTTACTGTCAACAAACCGCTCAATGCCATTATCACTGTCGATACAAGAGGTTGCATCATTTATAAAAACTAAAAATAAAACTGGTCCAAAGAAGTGGAATACCTCAAGCGGTATTCCACTATTGCAAGAATTTGGTTTGAATACGAATTACCGACACTAACACATTAAGAACAATTTATTAACAAGTTTTAGTACAGTTTAGCAGTTCGTACTTAATACCTTTGAAATATAGTTTGGAAAGCAACTTAAAGCGAGTCACAAAACAAAAGGTTTTCTCAAAGTCTATAAATACAATATACACAATCTTTTTGTTATTGGCAGCAGCATTCTTTTCTTTCAAGGTTGTCAACATCTGTGCACAGGTGGATTTACGCTATAAAAGTATATTGGTAATACAAAAATAAATTTATTAACTAGTAAGTAATTTGTAAGGTATTCCGCAATGGTTGACTCTATAACTATACAAAAAATCACGTTTGTGATTAAAAAGGAAAGAGATTAATTTTTGTATTACGCATGAACGCAGATGGAGGGCGGCACTTAAGGCATATAAAGAGCAGGGGTGAGGGGAATCCTAAATCAGTATTGTTACTGCGAACTTAATATATGAATATCCCCTAAGGCTTTGGTTTTTAAATTACAGGTGGCTGCACATGGTGGGTGGTTTATGCGCAAGTTCTTATATTTCGTTCTTCAGAGGAAAAAAACAGATAGACATATAACTTATATATTTTTAAGTTCCTCTGAAATTTCGGGGTGAATTTGCAGAGTGGATATTATTGCGAGAGATAAAATTATTACCATTAAACATTAATTGAAAATATCTTGATTTATTTTTTATTGCTTTTTTTGTTGTTGTTGTTTTATTTTGAATACTATTTGGTTTAACATTTTATCTTGGCTTTTTAACATTTTATCTTGGTTTTTAAATATTTTTGCATAAAGATGTATTATTATTATTATTTTACTACAGACATTGTATTTTTATTAAAAATTAACCATATATTGTAAAGGACTTCATGACAAGATCCTTATGATCTTCTAGAAGTTACGTGGTTACTAATGTAAAAGTTGTAAAATATATTATTGTAATAGTTTTGTAGTATTAGTAATATTATTGTAAGTTATTGTAATATTAAACGGCAAAATATATATATAAAAACAAAAAAAAAAAAAACAATAATAAAAAAACAATAATGCTTTTTACTCAAGTTTACCAAGTTTCTGTTATAAAATAGTAGGGATGCACCGAACGTTCGGCAAAACCGAACGTTCGGTTCGGCCGAACCTTGACAAATGTTCGGCCGAACATTTGCTAAAAATGCTAATTTGGAAATTAATATCATCAAATCATCATAACTCAGCCTAAATAGCTACAGTACCAATAGATATGGATTTTTATTGAAAACCCGATTCTTATCTACAACGCATAATAGGTAAGAATATGGTTTTCAATAGAACACATGAGTACGTTAGATTTACATCAAGTTTTTTGAATTTAGAATAAATTTAATTTGATAGCATGTATTACTTAAAACCGAATGTATTACGTAAAACTAGTTTACATCATTTAGAAAAAATAGTACTAGTATAAGTGTAAAATGAAAAATCCTTTCAATTGAGCAATATTTTATTTAATTTTATTCTTTTATATACAATAATAGTAATAATAATTAAACTTAACTTAAGTTATAAAATTCATGCAAGAAGCAAATTTTTTATTTTGGAAAAATCGCAAAAATGTAATATAAAATAAACTTTATAAAGAAAGTTGCTCGTAATTTGGCTACTCAACTAGTTAAACTGAGAAAATTATTTGAAAGAAATAAACTTAGGGAAAAATGTTATTGTGGTGATCAAAAACATAAAAATGCTCCAATTTATTATGTAGTTATTACTATATAACTATATAACATACACTATTATGTTATTATTATATAACTAAACATGTAATAGTATTAATACTAGACAAATCAACAATTTTAAACTTTCACCTAACAAAATAATCGATTATTAAAAAAATAAAACATTAAAAGCATGAGTGAAAATCAATTTTCATTTGTTGTCCTCAAGTTATAATGAATAAACATTAGTTTTTCGCCACTTTCTGGTGATAGTCTGTTTCTATTGGGTTCGTAAATGATGCCACCTGTACTAAAAAGTCTTTCACTTTCAACAGAAGATGATGGTGCTGAAAGAAACTTTTAGGTAATTTTCTTTAAATTTTTAAAAGAGTTTTCACAATTTTTCCACTACAAGAGAGGACTTTCTTTTTCCTTGACAAGAGGTAGCTTTAAATACTCTTCAATCTCCTTGTTTATCATTTGTATATTAGAATTTAATCTTTTTAACCTTTTTCTATTTTCAGTATTTACAAAATTGAAATCACATTCATCTATAGTTATCAGTTTACAAACTTTCTGAAAACATTCATTGAATTTTGGATAAGCTGGTTTTGCAATTACTTCATTTGTATTATGTACTGAAGGTTCGTCAAAATCAGAATCTAAGGGTTCAAGTTCTAAATTACTTTGTTGCATTTCTTGCATCTGTTCATTTATCCAATTTTTTATTTTATCCTTATCTTCCTTTTGATATGTCAATTTATATCTAGGGTCACAAAAAGTGGAAAGACATAAATATTTATCATGTAAATATGGACCCAATTTTTTTGTCTACTGACCCACTTAAATAATCAACTAAAGTATTTATTGTTAAAAAAGCCTCACATACTAATGCTTGATTGAAAAATTCTTTCAGAGCTAAAATTGAAGGAATAACATCTGACAAATATGATTCACGTTTACTGAAATTAATGGTTAAAGTTTTAAATGGTTCTAAAATATGCAACACTTTATCTAATAAGTCCCATTGAAATGAATTTAGTGTTGATTGGGTAGGATGATCTGCTGTATAAGTTGCCAAAGGAACTTTTTGATCAAGCATCCTTTCAATCATATCATAAGAACTGTTCCATCTTGTAGTAATATCTTGGATCAACCTGTGCTTATTTGTACTAAGTTGTTCCTGAATTACTTCTAATTTTGCTGCTATTGTTGGGGAATGGTGAAAATGAGTTGCCAGACATCTGCAACAAGCTAAAATATCCTTAACAGATTTTTGCGACAGAATTGAGTCATGTATACATAACTGTATTGTATGTATAAAACATGGTATTGATCTAAAACCACTGTCTCTTACACCAGCTACCATATTGGCCGCATTATCTCGTAAAACAATATGAATTTTTGAGTGTTGAATTTCAAAACTTACTAAACCTTTATGTAAATACTCACTTATATTTTTCCTGTGTGACTTTCTGGAAAGTGGAAATGGAAAGTGCATAACTCTGAGTACTGCTCTGTGCTGGGAAAATTCATTACTGAGCCAGTGTGGTGTCATGCTTATAAAGGCAACATTTGAACTATGTGCTTTCCAAATGTCAGTTGTAAGAGAGATATGAATGGCAGCAGATATATTACTCTTGATAGAACTAAATAGTTTATTATATATTTGTGGAATAATGTTTTCACTAAAATATCTCCTACTAGGTATTTAATAATTAGGACACAGCTCTTCAATTAATTTTCTAAAACCAAGATCTTCTACAATCGAATATGGTTGGATGTCCAACGCCATCATTTCTCCAATGTGATTGTAAATTTTGATAGCTCTTTGATCATTTACATCCCACAGCTTTTTTTTATTAAGACTCTCCAGTAATGTTAATTGTTTTTTTAATTCAGAATCACTTGATCTAGAGGCTGTAGATGTTTCAATTTTTTTTTGTCAGACTCTTTTTCAGCTATTTTATATTCTGCAAAGTGCTTGTTTTTTAAATGACGCCTAATTGCACTTGTAGTGAATGTTTTAGGACAATTCCCACCTCTAGAAAGTAATGCTTTGCATAGTAGGCAAATACAAAAATGATTATCTTTCTTTGAAACTTTAAAATATTTCTAAACAGTACTTTTAAATTTTATTTTTGAAGACATTTTTGTATGCTTCTAATAAATAAATAAAGTTTAAGAAAAAAATATAATCTTAAAACATGCCAGATACTAGGTTTCAATACCTTATACCTTAATACCTTTATTTTTATTAGGTAACTTTTATATTTGTAGAATAGAGTACAAATTTAGCTTAAGTGTTATAACATATAAGCTAAGCTTTTAGTATAGTCTACAAATATAAAAGTTAGCTAAATAGCTTAACTTTAAGCCTTAACATTAACAATTAATAACTATTTAAATAAATACTTAACGTTAGGTACGTGAGTATCGCGTTTTACGGAACCGAATTTTGTGCTAAAATTCTGTTCCACGTTTTTCGTAGTCTCTTAAAAGTTAGAGTGCTTGAGGAAGGCGTTGTGGAATAACTTTTAAGTATTCGTTATCAACATAGATTATTTTTAGAAAGAAGAATAGTTGAAGCATTAGTTCGATTGGTTTTTAATTATACTCACTTAATTTATTAACGAGTTTATTGATGTCAAAATTTTGATTGTACTTCTGTGGTGAATTTAATGTCCTGGATAAAGTCTTTTTTTTTTCTATCCATTTTTTTAATTAAATTTATTCATTTATCTATGCACCTGCCAATTTTCGTTGAAAAATATTTTGTAGCAGTCACCTTATTTCTTGCTGCACTTTTGTTACCTAATTTACATTTTACCTGATGTTGGCGCGGGAGACAGAGGGGTCTATTGATTGTTTTTATTTATATTTATTTTACATATATAGTATTCATATTAGCAATATTTGACTTATGTCATAAATTGATATTGTAAACCTAGATATTTTAGAATAAAAATATAGTTAAAAAATTTGTACATTTAAAAGAAATTACTTTAATAAAACGATTTTTAGTAAACATTAAAAAAAGACTTTGATTTTATATTTGATTTAGAAATAAAATGGAGGAAGAAAATAAAGGTTTCATCTAGTATTTCATCTAGTAATTTATTAATAAGAATTAGATGTGAGTTAAATTATTGATGAATCATATCTAATTTGAAGATTGAACGTTGTTTTTATTTAATGAGGAATATCTTTATGGATAAGTTGTTTCGATATAAATTTATTAAACTGTTTTTAAATTATCTGGCCACTATCTAAATCTTTATGTATAACTTAAATATTTCTTTCACTGTTTTAGATAAACAAAGTTGTAGTGCAGCCGACAACATCAGTTAGTTACTTTCTGTATTCAATAGCTTAGTAGTTATTAAATAGATGCTATTATAATATATGTTCTATATATATATATATATATATATATATATATATATATATATATATATATATATATATATATATATATATATATATATATATATATATATATATATATATATATATATATATATATATGTATATATATATATATACATATATATATGATATTAGTTTTCTAAGGCAGTTCTTTATTATGCCTGTGTAGATTGTTGTCTAACAATATTATTTCTTGTTAGTTGTATTTTTGTATACTTAGTACTTACATTTTTTTAAGTCTCTCTTTTTTTTCTGTAGACAATTTAGAACAAACAATCAGTAAGTTAAGTTTGAATTGTTTTAGTTACTATATCATTTAAAGTATTTTTATGCTGTGTTAGTATTCCTTGTTGAATAAATGTTTTGATTTAAAAGTTTTTTTTAAAGATTTAAGTTTAAGAAAAAAGATTGTTAAATGGTCAATTAATGTAGCACATAAAAACAGATTTACAAATCAACTGCATTGATGCAAAGTGAGAGATGAGATTTGCCAAAGACAAAAAATCAAGCGCCAAAAAATGGATGAAAAAGAAAAAAGAAAGTTAGAGCGTGTATCCAAATTGAATTTTTAAAAAATTATTAATTCATGCAAGCGCTTGTCCAATGACCAACTATTTGATTTAGAAGATGTCATGTCAGATAAAATTGTTCTAGAAACTCCAAAAACATGCAAAAGTGTTTTATTACGATCCAAAAACATGCAAAAGTGTTTTAAATAGTGAAAGAGTAGAAAAAGTTAATAAAAGAAAAAATAACTTTATTTACACAATTTCTTACTGGAAAGATGATGAAACTGATATTGGAGCTGTTGACATCAGCAGCAAGCTGATCTTTTTCATGCAATAGGCATGAAAAAGATCCAGCTTGCTGCTGATATTGTTTTCAGTGAGTTAAAATTTAATTAATTTAATAACACTGCAAGTGTTGTGACTAGTCAAAAATATGTTGCAAGTGTTGTAACTTGCATAAATAATATTTATTTTGAAACAGGAAATTTGTTTATTAACCGAAGAAAATGGTTAGCTCGTTAACCATACTGTATGGTTCTGTTAATGTGAGAATCACATGAAAGACAATAATATAGGTATTTGCTATACTTGGTTATAAAGATGACATATTTTTTAAAGCCAATTGACTTAATTATAGCCCCACAATAGTAGTTGTATAATTTTTTTAGTAATATATAACCAATTAAATAATAATAATAGGTTAGAGGGGGGAAAAACTCATAGTAGATATGTTGATGATGTTTTAAAGGGGAAAGAGGCATTCTAAATGCCTCTTTTCTTTCTTTCCCCTTTAAAACATCATCAACATATCTACTATGAGTTTTACATTCATCTTCCATATTTGATGGTTGTCTGATATGAATTTATTTTTTAATTTATTTCCAATTTCATAATTTCATTTTTAAATTTATTATCCAAATTTTGAAAACAGTAATTGTATATATTTTTTTTAGGATAGGTGGGTGGGGGGGGGGCATACGCCCTCCTGTAATAGAAACACCACTTGTAGACGTAAGATCATGTATAAAATAATTTTATATTGTATACTAATTTTACACATTTCAGTAAAGATATAAATATAAAATCAAGTCGTTTTTGATACTAGGGTGTAACAAACCACCACCACCACACCCACCTCTATTGCTAACATACACCTCTCATATATTTTAATGGTTATGTATAAGTTTAAAACAATTTGTTTTAATATTTATATTGCTTATGTCTTTAAAAAAAACTTTTTTTCTGAAAAAAGTGTTCAGTTTCGTACGGGTATGGTGGTGGTTTGGTGCTCCCACTGTCCATCCAAAACGCCCGGTGTAGCCCACTCTTACACCTATCTTTTGACACTAAGATATTTGTTTTTCGATAAGAATTGACAAAGTTATGACAATTTAAGTAAAGAAAAACATTATTTTGACCACAGTTTTTTGACCACAGTTGCTTCAACAAATCCTAATATCGAAAAATCGGTACTTAAACCGTCATAACTTTTGAACCAATTGTTCAATTTTGATAATTTTTTCACCTTTAAATTACTGTAATAATCCTCTTTCTAATGATATATAACATTATAGTATTCAAACAATTTGAAATTTTTACTCACGTACCTATTAACGTAAAATCTTTTTTTAAGAAGATTTATTTATAAATTGCAATATAATTTTATTATATTATAATTGTTAATTATTTATATTCATCATTAATAAGTCATACTCATAAATTTAATTTTTCATTTTTCAAATAAAAACATCTTAACATTTTTACTTCTTTACACTACATTGTAGTGTAGTGACTACAAAGAATCATCTAATAATAAATTTACTTTTGATAATTATTTAAAGTTTCCTCACATATTTTCAAAATAAATCTAATGTTTTAAAAAACACATTAAATTTTTAAAAATATAGTTAATGTTCTAGTTCAAAATGTTTTTGACGTTTATCAATGTTTATATTTAAAAAAAGCAAAAGTTCGGTATTCGGTTCGGTGTTCGGCCGAACTTTCATGGCCGAACGTCCGGATTCGGTGTTCGGCAAAAAACCGGGTTCGGTGCATCCCTATAAAATAGTGTTAAGATTGCTATTTTGAAGCAGATAATTTAGGTGGTATAAGGTTGCTATCGATTGATCTAGCATTAAAGTAAGGACTAATATCATTTTTGAAGGGATATTGATTTGTGCTACAATTTGGTAGAATTGCTGTTATTGATATTGAATTCGTTGCTATATGCTCGGTCATTTTTGGTTTTGGTTAAAACCAAAAATGACCGAGCATATTTTTGAGTTGTTTTAAAGTTTTTTTTGCTCAGATCTAAATTGCATTAAAAACTTTAAAGTGAATTTATTTAAAAAGTTCTTCAACTAATTAGTGGTCACTATATAAATATTTAGTGATCAATGTATAATTTTTTTATTGTTTGGGTTTGCTAAATATTATAAATTTTTTTTTTCTCTTCTTAATGTATCTTTAGCAATATGGTTGATAGTGTTAGACTTGCTCAGATAATTTTTGTTTTGTTTAAAAAAAGAAAATCACTCCAGGTCATTTTGTTTCACTATTATAACTTATTTGATTAGATTTATTTCTTAGGATTTCATTTTCTTTTTCTAAAATTTAGTAAAACAAACTCATCTTCGTTTGCTTTTTTTTTCTCGTAGAAAGACCCAGGTGCTCCTAGGCCTTTTAGTTGTATGATCTCAAAAAAACCAACCTAACCAGCAAGTTAATTTTTTTTATTAACAAATGGTTACTAAAAAACCGGACTTATTTCCAAAGGCAATTACTCCCATAGTTTTTAGGATAGAGAAAATAAAATATCATTATATGATATTTAACAATTTTAAAATTTATTAAAAATAATTCATTTTAAAACATATATTACAAAATTATACATTAAATATTATATTTATTATTTTATACTTGTTTTTATTTTATTATAAATTTAATATTAAACATTTTTCTGTGTTATTAGGTTCTTTAATTTATCGAGGTTATGAATATATTTTCTACGGTACTTGATCTTAAACTTCTTGATATTCGAACAAGAAATCCATTCATAAATATTTTCAATAAAATCAATGTCGTCGTGAAGGTAAAGCTTTAACTCCTCACAAAGATTAATCCACGGAAGAAAGTTCTCTTCAAAAAATTTTCTTGGTATTAAGTAACGCGAGATCCATATCTTTAAACATTTAATCTTGTCTTTCGGTTTCCATCCTTCAAATTTAATTGGACAATAAAAAGTGACATCGCGAACATTAGTTGAGCATTGAATTAAAATATTCTTTTCTTCATCACTAAAAATATTTTTAAAAACAATGAACTCCATTAATTTTCTTCTAGATTTTATGTAATGATCTATAAAATAGTTTTCGCAAGAAATTTCGTAAGAAGTTTTCAAACAATCGCCAATCAAAATCTTCCAATCATTACGTTTCTCGACGATTGATATTATTTCATCAATGAATGAAGATTGACTTTCATAAAAACATTCAATAAATAAATTATTACGACGACTTTCAAGCAGACGATCTGAAAAAAATTATTTAACATAAGTATAAAAAAACAAATTATATTTCGAAAACATAATAGTCTATATGCTAATACATCTGATAATATTAATACGCTAATTTAGGGGCTCATTACATGAGTAAAAATCAGCCCGGGCTAGGTAGCAGCTCGCTTATCCGGGCTGAAATTTCCCCCCGCCTAACACTTTGTTTTCTTACAAATTCAAATTTAGTATTATATGATGAGCGAGATGAAATTCCCCCGGGATCAATATCCTAGCCCGTTTTATAAAACCGAGGCAGGATTTTCAGCCCTGTCAATTTCCATTATTAATGCAAAATTAAAGATGGCTGCACTAAAACCAGTAAGTGAAGTAAAGATAAAAGAAAGCGTAGAAGTTCGATTTCGTTGGGATAAAAACAATAAAATTTCAAATTTAATACAGAGTTTATCAAATTTAAATCTCAAATGGAATATAATAACAAGGATTTTAATGCTGACAAATCAAATCAGTACGAAAGTTGTAGAAAAGCTTTAGCTAGCATTTACTGTCATGAGCCAAGTTGGTTTAGGCCTGTTTGTCCTAATGACAATATCTTATCCGAACAAAATAAAATTGATATAACTCTTATTAAAAGAGGTTATATATAAAAGAGGTTATAGTTCAAGAAAAAATCAAAGAAATTCGTCAGAATTTTTCATTAGCTGTAACATCAGGTCGAAGGAGTGGAAGTGGAAAAATAGTACTTGAATTTTATGATCATCTAATTCAAAAATATGGGGTGGATCTCCATATATAGAACCGTTATTTTTTGGGAAATCAACGTATGATGTTAATAAGGAAATCATGGATAATAATAAAAGTGTAGAAAATTTAACATGTAGCACTGAAGACACCACAGTTAAAAATACAGATAATGTAAATCTATGTTCAAGTTCATGCAGTATTGAGGACAATAGTGTAGTCGATTTTTCTTTATTATTACAGAGTCCAGAAACTTCATCTGTTGATAGTGATATCTCAACTAAAAAAAGAAACGTAAAAATGACAATAATGAAATTGTTCCAAAATTTATTGACAATAAGCGACGACATATGCGGAGACAATTGAGTGCATCACAAAGAGATCAAACTTTGTTGAATGAAGCAAAAAAAGATGCTCAATTTAAAAGAGATATCGCTGAAGCCATAAGACATTCTATTGAAACATTCTTAGCATCAATCGAGCAAATGTCAGAATCTAGTTTACAGGTTGCCCAGGGACTTTCTAGATCAATGGAATTATTAATTCAGGGAATGAAAACTAATCAACAATAATTAAGGTGTATAATAAAATTAGTACATTTTATAGTAACTTTAATGATTGCAATATAATGGACTTGTTTTTATTGCTTATGAATATTTTTTTCTTGTAAAACTTCATTTGTTTTGTTGTTAAATTTAATCTATTTTCTTACTAATAATTATAACAAGTTTGTAATGAAACGCAACAATTACAATAATTTAGCAAAATACAATAATTTAACCACAAAAAAGGATTTCGCATTTTTCATAGTTTTTTTATATATAAGCTTTTTGTATTTTTAGTCCCTGAATAAATTTTCTGATATATATTTTGTTATAGTTTTGCGTATATATTCATCTTCAGGATTATTAGCAGAGTAAATACTGTCAGGGAGGTTTGGGCTTTCCAATGCATCACTTCGATGTCTTTCAATTTGCTGATTAACCACCTCTTCATTTAGGTCATAGGTTTTGTTTTTTTCACAAAAGTTATGAAGAACAAAACAAGTATAAATAACAATAGGAACTGTTTCTATTTTTATATCAACTATTTTTCATAAAAATCCCCACCTTGCTTTTAATCTGCCAAAAGCACATTCAATCTGGTTCCTAGCAGATCGTAATTGCTGTTAAATATGACTTCGTTATTTGAACAACTTTGAAACTCTTTTATGCAAAAGTTTGTTAATGGATAGGCTGGGTCTCCAATCAAATAGTTAGGAATTGAATGATAATTAGGTAAACTGTACAATGTTTGAGGTAGTGTGTCTTTTATTAATTTTTTATTGATAGTGGAATTTGTAAACATCTTTGCATCATGTACAGATCCTGGCTAGTTGCATTCAACATCAATAAAATATCCTTTACTATCGCATACCGCTTGTACATTTAATGAAAAATATTGCTTATAACTAAAGTAGTCTAAACCGTTTTTAATAGGACGTTTAATTTGGACATGAGTGCCATCAATGCATCCAAAGGCTTGTATCATGCCGAACTTTACTTCAAACTGTGAAGCTAATTTCGTCATATCCTCTTTATTTTTAGGTAGATGTATATATATAGGACCAACAATATTATTTATGGCATCACATACAACTTTAACAGTTTTTGAAACAATACATTGATGAATGCCGAAAACATTGGCTGTCATCCAAAAGGAACCAGTATCCTTTAAATAATAAATGGTTATTGCTAGTTTCTTGTGTGTAGTTAAAAAACGATAATTTGGACAGTTAGGTTGAGGACTTACAACAGTATCTATAATAGCAGCAAGCTCTAGAAAACATCCCTTTGTCATTCAGAAATTTCTTTTTTAGCAAGTTTCAGGGACATCTGGTCCAATCATATTTTGCCACCATAAATCAGTTCTCCCCTTTTCCACCCATAAACTTCTAGATTTTCTGTTCATAAGTCTTTGTCTAGCAAGTTTCTTCTTACGTTGCAAATTATTTTTTCGTGTGCATAAATAAGCACCAAGGGCAATATTTCGTTTGCTTTCTAATAGTTTGTACGTAATTTTTAAACCAATAAGTTGCAATATAAGCGCTGTAGACTGCACTGTTGAATTATAAATAAAACTAATTGTAAAATATTAATGTTTTCACGAATAGACATTTTACATAAAAAAATTTCAACCCGCCCAAGTTGAAATTTGAAAACTAAAAGTTTTCAGCGGGATGAAAACGTCTATGTAATAGTAAACAATTTTCAACCCGGCACCGAGCTGAATTTTCATCCCGGGTTGAATTCACCTCATGTAATGAGCCCTTTAATAGTAGTAGTTAATAGTCGACTTACGTCATTTTCAAGGCTTTTCTATTTTAAAGTAGTTTCAAGTTTTGTCAATACGCGGTTTTTTTTTTTAATTTTATTTACTATCAACCCGTATTACGGGTTGCTTACTGCGAGTATATTAATATTATAGCTATATTAAAATATAGCTAAATAAAAAATTATTTACATTATAATATAATTATATACATAATGCTTTAAAACATAATATTATGCACAATAATATTAAATTATAATCGTATGTGTATATATATATATATATATATATATATATATATATATATATATATATATATATATATATATATATGTATATATATATATATTTATTTATTTTAACTAGTACGCTCTAGTTATATTAATTATTTACCATAAATATAAAAAAATAAATTATATTTCGAAATACATTATAATAGTCGCATAACAAATACATATATTAATGTTAAAATATCAATATATGTATTAGTATTTAAATACATACTGATTACATAATATTTATACAGGTAAAAAAAAAAAAAAAAAAAAAAATCTTGAGGAAAAATAACTTTAAAAAAAAAAGAGAAGCAAACTCGAGCACGAAATAAATTTTATAAACTAGATTATGCAATTTTTCGCGAAAAAGCTTTGCCTTCTAAATATCTTTTTAAGAGACAGGGTTGACAGAGCCACAAATCGCAAATTATTTTTTCGCAAGTTTTTCATAAAACATCTGAAAAACTAATAATTTCTGGCTTTTCAATTTCATCAATCCTTAGGTACTTTTTTTAAACTTCTTTTGCAGCAATTTTAACATGTGTTCTATTTAATATTTTTGCGTCTTTTAACTGATTTAACCATGTTTCTTCTGTAAAAGCGTGACTAACCCATGTTCTGATATTTCTAGCTGTTTTTGCTGGATGTTTGTGTGCATTTTAGAATAAAAATTGCTACAACAGAGCTCTTTTAAGACTGATTTTCACAAAATTTTTTATTAAAAAGTTAAATTCAAAGTTAGGAATGAAAGTTGGTATTACAGTCGGTTGCAGGAGGCTGGCGTTGCGGGTGGAGTATAGGATGGTGTTTGTTTAACAGTTTAAGACGAAGGACTTGGACTTTGCAGTGAATTAGTAATTACTTGTGATGTTTTTAAGTTGTTATTAAAAGTTTGACAAACTTGCACTTTTGATTTGTCAATATTGTTCTAATTTAATGGAAAGAGCCAATTAATTTGAGCACAAGTGCAAGCTTTGATGCAACTATACAACTGTGTAAGGAAACTTAGGAAAACCTTTTTAGAATAATTAATAAAACCATTTTGAGCATACATTTGCTTAAAATATCATGCCAAATATCTTTCACATGGCAAAATACACCAACATCAAAAGGCTGAAGAATGTGAGAATAATAAGCGGGAATGCTAACTAATGTTATATTGTTGTCTTTACATTTTAAGGCTACACTTAATGACACATGTGTACTGTGGCCATCCAAAAGTATAATATGACTACCAACATTTTTGCTTGGATAACGTTGTTTCTGTTAAGCAGTAAATTTGAACTGCAGCTCTTAAGCTCAACTCGCCATTTTTAATCTTGTCCATTTGTTTTTCTCCTTAGTGTACTTTTTGTTTGTTTTATTTTTGGACGTTTGAAGCATAAAAGCCAACTTTTGACAATAGTTCAAGTTACATTATCTCTATTACTTTGACAATAGTTCATTTTACATCTCTATTTGAGTTATAAGAGTTAAATCACTACTACAACCGCATATATATTTTAGCTATCACTACTTTCTGATCTGTTACTACTTGTAGTCCTTTCATTGTTACTTCTGGTAGTCCTTTCATTGTTACTACTAGTAGTCCTTTCATTGTTACTACTAGTGGTCCTTTCATTGTTATTACTAGTAGTCCTTTCATTGTTACTACTAGTAGTCCTTTCATTGTTACTTCTAGTAGCCCTTTTCTTCAACAACGTTTGCAATGTTGACTAAGTTTGAATTTTTCTGCAAAGTTGACTATCTGAAGAAGAGATGAAGAAATACAGATATTATGAGGGTTAGTGCAGCGTGGAAAAAAAATAGCCGGTCAATTACAGCCTAAAATGACAAAAATTGCTATTTCAACCTCCCAAAATAAATTCTTGCCCATCATAGTTAAAAAAATTTTGTTTCTTGTTTAAAGTCATTAAATTAAAAGATTGAAGTTCTTATTTTATTATTATTTGAAATTGTTGTAACTAAGAAGATTTTTCTTCCAACTGTATGTTGTTGGTTTTTTTTTTATTCAAACTGTTCATTTATTTTTTCGTAGCTTTTCCAACCATTTGTGAAGTCATTGCAATAGATTTATTATTTTAAAATAAATTTAACATTATTAATTGCGCATTTGCACTTTTTTTATTATTAATAAAATAATCAAAAATCAGATATAAACATATTTTTAGTAAAACCTTTGTTTTATGTAGCATAATGTAATCGTTATGTAACAAGTAATTTCTATAGTAGAACTTCATAAAACGATTTCTTTTAGTATTCAGTTTAAATGTTTAGAATTTAAATTTTTGAAATGAGTGAAAATGTATGTGCATGAGAGTTAAACTATTAACATTTAAATTAAATTCATTGATTTTATTCAAAACTATTATTTTAAAAGAAATAAGAACTTGTTAATTTTCAAGCATCAAGTTATTTATTTATAATGTTCAGTCAAAAAAAAACTATTCTAAGATTTGAATAAAGAAAAAATTAAAAAACTTGACTGTCAAAAAAACAACAACAAACAATTAACCGTCAATTCCATGTGTTAACCAGTCAAATTGACCGATTATCTCCTATTTTCCACACTGACTTAGTGCCAGCAGAGTCAGTGATGTTAGAGCCAAGCCATTTAATGTGATGAGCACTCAAATGACCAATAACAAAAATATTGGAAGAGGGATAAAGAGAAAAAGCTTGGCAAATATGTTCAGAAATAACATCTAAAAAAGTGCGCTCTTGAGAACAATAAAAAACAAAAAAATAGTGTTGAGTAAAGAGGTACTGAGCAAAAGCACATAAAAGAATGGTCATTAAACCTGATATCTTGACAAATAGATGAATTCATGCATAAGTAAACAATACAATTGCACAATTGTAGTCAAAGGATAGTCAAAGAAATTTGCGAATCAAAGAACAGTAACCATCAATCCGAAGAAGAAACAGCTGAATTCAAACTAGCCTCATAAGTAAGTTTAATGAAGTTTGCAAAAGGTAAGAATCAACTGATGGAAAGGTATTTCAAAGACAATAAATATTTGTGAAAGATATATTAAAAAGGTGATGGCTTTTTATATTTAATATTTTTGGGTAGTTTTATTAGAAATTAAGTTTTAGAGAATTAGACATACTCATAGATAGAGCATGGTACCCAGGCTTGATCGGGAAGCGGGTGCGATCGCACTCGATAACTGACCACGGAAATAATATTTAATTGCGAAAAACCGGCCAGATTTTTTAGTCGTTTTGAGAACATTTAAATTTATGTATGTTTCCTTAATTAAGTTCCATTATTTTATTGTAAATTTTAAAATATTTTGTTGTACAGACATACATGGAAACATACATGAACTCGAATGTTCTCAAACGTCTTTGTGCGGAAAATAAAAAAGAATATTTGCGAACACAAAAAACCCGCCAAATCTATAAAAAATTAATTCACTTGGTTCAAAAAATACTAACCGCAATTTCTAGAGTATTCTGTTGAAATATTTAAAAAAATTGTATTATTCGAGTTTTGTTATGTTTTTGATGAGATTTCTAGCATAAATTGTTTTAAGAATATCAAACAAACTATTATTTTAATTCTCGGAGTTACATCTACAAAGCTATAAATGTTTTAAACTAACAATTATTTACAAAAATAAATGTTTTAAATTTATCTTTTTTATCTTGTCAACGTTTTGTAAATATATTATAGATTTTATTAGTATATTCTTATTTTTTATATAAGGGATGTATTTTTTATGTATGTAATGTATTTTTTATGTAATGTTTTTTTATGTATGTAATTTTTGTGCATTTAATTTTATGAATGTGTATTTTATTCAAATGTGATTACATTTGAATAAAATAATTACATTTGAATAAAATTATGTAATCTTTTAAAGCAATTTGAGCGATCGATTTTGTAAACAAAAATACTTTCAATATTAACTGCGTTTTTAATGAAATTATTAATAATCATCAAAGTTAATACTAATAATTTTAACCACTAATCAATTTTCCTCAGTGTACCCGATAACTGATTCTTTCCTCCAAGAAAAAAAAGTTTTTAAGTTCTTAGAAATTAATTAACTAACCTCAATTATTTTTGCTTCAGTCATTCTTACAAAATCGTTATACTTAAACTTAAAATTACTTTTTTCTGTTTTAAATACTAATTAAAATAATAAAGCCCACTCATTAAACATCTTCAGCGTTATTGTGAAGCAGTTCCGTTTCCTCCTCACATAGTAATTTAACGTTTTTAGTTAATTTCTATATAGCTTATTGAATTTTTACAGTAACTCAATGATTTAATTATTTCATTTGTTCATCTTACTAAGAAAAATTGTTTTAAATGTGACAGCCAGCTTAATAAGCTAAAGTCCCACTGGCTATTGTAGCTAGCGTCATATCGTAATAAAGTCGTTTCTTTCCATGCTTCTTCAACCCACTCCTTAATAACATTTTCATCTGCATGTTGATAAAGTAATTTATATCGTGGATCCAAAAATATTGATTCACATAACATTTTATTAAGCTAAAAAAATTTGATTTGTAGCTATCAATCAGCTACAGATTTGTAGTTATTTTGTAGCTAGCTACAAAGCTACGATATGTCGCTAGCGACACATTGCTACAAAATCGCAATGTTTAAAGTTCTATTATCCTTACAATTATAATATAATCAACACTAAAAATCGATTTTTTAAAGATGTTAAAGACATAAGGAAATAATAAAATCAGAAAAAAAAATCGCTAGAAAATCGCTATAAAGCTAGCTAGTCGCTAGCTCATTTCCACCGGGAAATCATCTAACGTTAGTTTTATTGGTTGAATCTTGTTGGACTTTTCAGGGCCGGGGACTGCATTATTTTGGCGGCCTTTTTTATGTGCCACAGCGTAAAAATGACTAAAAAAAATACCAAATGGTCCTCTTGACTATTTCGCGGCCCCCAACATTGTGAGTCTCAAGGCTATAGCCCTTCTACTCCCCCCCCCCTCAATCCAGCACTGGAAATAACACAAGTATATAAATAAAAATTATATATACTCTTTGATGAATCGAAGAACATTTGTTTCCTAATTAAACAACCATTAATAGTAAGTTGTTGCTTTATACAAAAAATGTCACTTAATTTTATAAAAAAAATTATAAAAGAGCGAATATTTGCTTTAATCGTATTTATTTTGGTTAAGGTTTTTTCGCGTCTTTTTTTAACTGTCTCTCGTCGGTCCAGTTAATTTTAATGCGCTTTTTTGTTTGTTTTTGAAATGTTCTCAAAATGACTTAAAAATCTGGCCGGCTTTTCGCAACTAAATATTATTTCCGTGGTCAATTATCGAGTGCGGTCGCACCCGCTTCCTGACCAAGCGGGTGCTTCCATCCCATTTTGATTGGTATCCCAATCAAAATGGGATGCAGTAACTTCAGCCCTGCTAATTTACATAAAGTCATAAATTAGGACTCATCATATAGCTTTGACAATGCACATCAAAGGCGCTAACAGAAACAACCATCCATGCACAACATGAGATTTTTAATACTTTGATAATTTACAGCTGTTGATGGAATCAGCCTCTCTAAGAGCTACCAAAAAGTTAGTACCAGCTTTACTACCAACAGGCCTTAAAACCATTAAACTGTTTTAGAACCTTATAAGGAGATAACAGGAAGAGTTGTATAAAGACTAAAAAAGTAGAGATGTGCCGGAACCAGTTTATGCCGAGTCTCCGATTCCGGGTACCCGGCTGAAAAAACCGGGTCCGAGTCCGGGTACTCGGCACCGAGTCCATTTTTTAAAAGTTGGAATAAAAATTTGTGAAATCTCTAGGGCTGAACTATTCACACAAAATACGCTTTTTACGCCAACTAACAAAAAGTTATGTGGCCGACGTACTATTTAGCAAAACTCCGCAATGCAGGGTAAGGGGCCTGAGTTGTAGGGCCTAACTTTTTTTAAATGTTGTGCAACAGTTTTTTAATAACTATATTTAGTTTAAAATTATTTTTCTTTCCTGGTGGAGCGGGCCTAAATAATATTTTGTGGGGAAAGGGGCAAAATTTGAAGTTCCGCCAATGAAAGTTATATTATGGAAAGCAAAAGATTAAGAAATATAAAGAATTGCAAAAAAAGGTAGACCTTCTCGACTGTAGAGTGATTAAAATAAAACAAATAAAAAGAACTTAAACAACACTTATTTGCTATATCTTATTTTAATTGTTTTATTAACTTTAGATTGTAATGCACAAACATTAGGTATTCTCCGTTATCTGCTTTTAGTCTGCTCCTTGTTGCTTCGTATATGTCCCCACCAGCACTAAATAACCTTTCACTTTCTATTGATGACGGAGGTGCTGTAAGATATTTTAATGCCATCTTTTTTAGTTTTTCAAATTGCATTCCACATTTACTTCACCACAAAAACGGAGAACTTTTATTTTCTAAAAGAGGCAGAGATAAATAGTTGTCTATTTCTTGAGTAATTGCAGACCTTAATATTGTTTGCTTCTTAATTATGTCAGTGGTAACAACTTCAATATCTACTATTTCTCTTTCTGCCTCAGAACGTCTTTCACTCTGCTTTCTTCCGGTTCTCATAGAAGCTACATCTTTAAAACAATCATCAATGCTAATGAATCCATTAGATGCTGGAGCTTTTACTATTGGAGCATTGTCGGAGTCAGAGTCAACAACATCTTGCGCTCCTTGCATTTCTTTCCATGCTTCTTCAACCCACTCCTTAATAACATTTTCATCTGCATGTTGATAAAGTAATTTATATCGTGGATCCAAAAATATTGATTCACATAACATTTTATTAAGCAAAAATTCATCAAGTCTTTTAGTAACAGATTTTATTAGTTCATCAATCATCGTCATAATCCCAGCGTATATATCACTTGATGAAGCTTTTTGTAATTAAACTTTTAATGCAAGAACAGATGGTATAATTTGTGCGCAAGTTTCGTCCCTCCTACCACATTTTTTTGTTAAGTTTTTAAATGGAGCAAGAATGTGAACAAGTTTTTCGACTATTCCCCATTGATAATTAGTAGGAAGTTTAATTTCATCATATTCTGCTGCATAGGTGGCCAAAGGAACTTTTTGTTCAAACGTTCTTTGTAGCATTTCAAATGAACTGTTCCAGCGAGTTGGAACACCTTGTTTCATTTTGTGAGGTACAGTACTTAACTGCTGCAGAATTGATTTTAATTTTGCACATGCTATTGGTGAATGATTAAAATGTGTCGTTATTCCTCTGCATAAAGTTAAAATTTCCTTGATGGTTTCTTGGCTAAATATAGTCATGAATATATAGCTGCAAAGTATGGATAAAGCATGGAATTGATGACATTCCACTGTTTTTTACTGCAGCCTTCATATTGTTTGCATTATCGGTAACAACAAGATGAATTTTGCTTAACGGGATTTCAAAAGTTTCTAAACCTTTTTGTAAATACTCTTTTATATGAACACCTGTGTGCTTTTCCGGAAAATGAATTACTCGAAGAACAGCAGTTTCTTGGGAAAATTTAGTTAGATCTATCCAATGTTCAGTAATGCTTAAAAATGCGATTTTTGCAGTATCCGCTGTCCAAATATCTGTCATCAGAGACAAATAGTTTGCCGCGGAGATTTTTATTTTTATATCTTTAAAAAGTTCATCATACATGCTAGGGATTACGTTTTGGCTGAAATATGTTTTACATGGTAATTTGTAATTGGGGTAAGCATCTTTAATCAGTTCATTAAACCCCGTATCTTCAACAGTAGAAAATGGCTGAATATCCAATGTGATAAGTTTTCCTATTATTTTATGGATTCGAATAGATCTGTGGTCATCAATATTTCACTGTTTTATTTTTGTGTAAAGCCTGAATAATGTTACTTTGTACTGTATTGGTGGTAGAAGCAACTGAGGCTTCAGAAATAGACGGCAACGATTGAACCTTTTTTTTTTCCTCCGCAAGTTCAAACTCTTTGGAATGCTTTAAACGCAAATGTTTTACCATTGCTGTAGTTCCATAAGACTTGAAAGATTTTCCTCCTCTCGTAACTAAACTATCACATAGTTTGCACTTACTCATATGAGGAGTCGTGCTTATATCAAAGAACTTCCGCGCTATACTTTTTTTTGCCATAATTTTTCTTTCAAATAAAATTTCTATAAAGATAATGAAACTAATTTTGATATCAAAGTTTTCGTTTATTTTATATAAAACGATAATTTTTTTAATAATACGCTCGAAATTAAAATATGAAAAATGTGTATAATATTTACCTTATATCTCTACTATTATGATTTTTGCTTGATACGAATGAAAAGTCTATCAGCGTTCGAAAGCATTATAAGCGTTTCATTCAAAACTAAATTGGTAAAAATTATCTTGCGTTCTAACAGAATAAAAAGAAGCTATTCTAAAACTTTTTTCCTTATTCTTTTTATTCGTATTCTCGAATTATTTCATTTAGCGTTACAGTTTTTGTAACCGTATAAATTTTTTTGCAAAAGTGTATTAAAAAATATTTTAAGTCAGATTGTTTTAAGTTAATAGAACTTTGTGGTTATCGACTACATAACACTCTTAGACTTATATCAAGAAGTATAATGGTTAAAGTTTAACTAAAGAAAAAATCATTTTGAAGATACCCGGTGCCGGGTACTGCAACAAAATGGCCGATACCGGGTACCCGGTAAAACTGCCGAATTACCGGGTCTCCAAGTCCGAACTGGGTACCCGGCACATCACTATAAAAAAGAGGCACAAGCAAAATCTATGAGTAGAAACAAGAAGATTCATCATACTAGGCAGAAAATTTTGTAACACAAATTTACATCTGCAGCAGCATAATAGATAAAGAAATGGTGCAAGGCTGGTCAACAGAACTATTCTGTTTATTCCTAAGATCATGTCCTGAAGGGCCATCTACAAGACAGTAACTGAATGAAGTTTACATGTGCCCAAGATAAGTATTTTTTACAAGGCACCATCATTAACCTTAACTTAACTGAGAGCCCTTAGGCAGGGGTATTTCAGGATATAAGTCAGAGTTTATTTCTCTTAGCCTTTTCGTAGAAAAGTAAACCCTGCAAAGCAACAGGAAATAGGGCAGGTAGTACTGGATTACATGTTACCAGTAGCAGTGTGATCATGATGATATACTGATCTACTCAATTTAGAAAAAAACATGATGAAAAATTAATGAATTTACATGTAATTAATGGTGTGGGATATTGACCATTGGTTTTATATGAATATTTAAAACAGGAACTGATTAAATAGGATCCTTTTAAAATCTAGAATATTAAAAAACCATTTCCAAAAAGCTGAAAAATATAATATAAACAGCCAATCCTTAACTTGTGACTTGTTTTACAAAACCAAACAATCAAAATGTAGACATATAGTGTCTGCTTTTGTTAACCATAAAAAAAGCAGCGTATTACCAACTTTATCAACTTTTCCAGATAGTTTTGCTTTTAAAAAGATAAAATGTTTATTTATGAAAATTGCTTATTTTTAAGGTTGAGCAGCATAAGATGTAATCTGTCAATGTCAGATATGCCATATAATCTGTTAATGCCAGATACACCATATAATCTGTCAACACCAGATAAGCCATATAATCTGTAATCCTTTGGAAAGAGTTAGAAATGAAACTTTTTAATGAGCAGAATAAATCCTAAATCAATGAGCAGAATAAATCCTAAGAAAAAAATAAGACAAATTTCAGAATGTAGCGATGTATCCTATTTTAGCTTTCTTTTACTTTGGGATAATTCTCTTAGTTAAAAAAAAATGCATAAAAGTTTCTAGTTTCAAAAAGGACTTTTGTCAGATCTATGAGTCCTAAAAATGCAAACATTAGCAATTTTATTTGCTAAAGAATGAGATACATAAGTTAATAAGGCATGTAATCATGCTTAAGAGAATTTTCAGCCAAAACTACAACAGTAGTTTTAACTAAAAAATCTCTTAAGCATGATTACATGCCTTATTAACTTATGTATCTCATTCTTAAGCAAATCTCTTAAGCAAAAAGAGTTTGGTGACAAAAAAAATGGTGAACAACTAAATGTTAACTAAAGTGAGTCACCTTTAACGATATATGGCAATGTTCTAAACAAGCACAAAGCAAGATCCACTAAAGTTAAAGAATTGAAGTCTTATCTTGGATTATAAAATGATATTTAAAAGAAAGTGTATCAAATCTTTTTTTGCTATTTAGAATATTTTTGATAATAATTGTATTAGTAGCTAGTTGTGAAAATAAACTCTAAAAGCTTAACTTAATTAAAGTCTATTTACACAATTCTAAGCCAAGATTGTTTATCTGATATGGCAATTTATCTATTAAACATGAAAAAAAAACATCTAATAAACATGAAAAAAAACATCTATTAAACATGAAAAAAAACATCTAATAAACATGAAAAAAAACATCTATTAAACATGAAAAAAAAACATCTAATAAACATGAAAAAAAACATCTATTAAACATGAAAAAAAACATCTATTAAACATGAAAAAAAACATCTATTAAACATGAAAAAAAACATCTATTAAACATGAAAAAAAACATCTATTAAACATGAAAAAAAACATCTATTAAACATGAAAAAAAACATCTATTAAACATGAAAAAAAACATCTATTAAACATGAAAAAAAACATCTAATAAACATGAAAAAAAACATCTAATAAACATGAAAAAAAACATCTATTAAACATGAAAAAAAACATCTATTAAACATGAAAAAAAACATCTATTAAACATGAAAAAAAACATCTATTAAACATGAAAAAAAACATCTATTAAACATGAAAAAAAACATCTAATAAACATGAAAAAAAACATCTATTAAACATGAAAAAAAACATCTAATAAACATGAAAAAAAACATCTATTAAACATGAAAAAAAACATCTAATAAACATGAAAAAAAACATCTATTAAACATGAAAAAAAACATCTAATAAACATGAAAAAAAACATCTATTAAACATGAAAAAAAACATCTATTAAACATGAAAAAAAACATCTATTAAACATGAAAAAAAACATCTATTAAACATGAAAAAAAACATCTAATAAACATGAAAAAAAACATCTATTAAACATGAAAAAAAAACATCTAATAAACATGAAAAAAAACATCTATTAAACATGAAAAAAAACATCTATTAAACATGAAAAAAAACATCTATTAAACATGAAAAAAAACATCTATTGAACATGAAAAAAAACATCTAATAAACATGAAAAAAAAACATCTATTAAACATGAAAAAAAACATCTATTAAACATGAAAAAAAACATCTATTAAACATGAAAAAAAACATCTATTAAACATGAAAAAAAACATCTATTAAACATGAAAAAAAACATCTATTAAACATGAAAAAAAACATCTATTAAACATGAAAAAAAACATCTAATAAACATGAAAAAAAACATCTAATAAACATGAAAAAAAACATCTATTAAACATGAAAAAAAACATCTATTAAACATGAAAAAAAACATCTATTAAACATGAAAAAAAACATCTATTAAACATGAAAAAAAACATCTATTAAACATGAAAAAAAACATCTAATAAACATGAAAAAAAACATCTATTAAACATGAAAAAAAACATCTAATAAACATGAAAAAAAACATCTATTAAACATGAAAAAAAACATCTAATAAACATGAAAAAAAACATCTATTAAACATGAAAAAAAACATCTATTAAACATGAAAAAAAACATCTATTAAACATGAAAAAAAACATCTATTAAACATGAAAAAAAACATCTAATAAACATGAAAAAAAACATCTATTAAACATGAAAAAAAAACATCTAATAAACATGAAAAAAAACATCTATTAAACATGAAAAAAAACATCTATTAAACATGAAAAAAAACATCTATTAAACATGAAAAAAAACATCTATTGAACATGAAAAAAAACATCTAATAAACATGAAAAAAAACATCTAATAAACATGAAAAAAAACATCTATTAAACATGAAAAAAAACATCTATTAAACATGAAAAAAAACATCTATTAAACATGAAAAAAAACATCTATTAAACATGAAAAAAAACATCTATTAAACATGAAAAAAAACATCTAATAAACATGAAAAAAAACATCTATTAAACATGAAAAAAAACATCTAATAAACATGAAAAAAAACATCTATTAAACATGAAAAAAAACATCTAATAAACATGAAAAAAAACATCTATTAAACATGAAAAGAACATCTATTAAACATGAAAAAAAACATCTAATAAACATGAAAAAAAACATCTATTAAACATGAAAAGAACATCTATTACACATAGAAAAACATCTATTAAACATGAAAAAAAACATCTATTAAACATGAAAAAAAACATCTATTAAACATGAAAAAAAACATCTATTAAACATGAAAAAAAACATCTATTAAACATGAAAAAAAACATCTATTAAACATGAAAAAAAACATCTAATAAACATGAAAAAAAACATCTATTAAACATGAAAAAAAACATCTAATAAACATGAAAAAAAACATCTATTAAACATGAAAAAAAACATCTAATAAACATGAAAAAAAACATCTATTAAACATGAAAAAAAACATCTAATAAACATGAAAAAAAACATCTATTAAACATGAAAAAAAACATCTATTAAACATGAAAAAAAACATCTATTAAACATGAAAAAAAACATCTATTAAACATGAAAAAAAACATCTATTAAACATGAAAAAAAACATCTATTAAACATGAAAAAAAACATCTAATAAACATGAAAAAAAACATCTATTAAACATGAAAAAAAAACATCTAATAAACATGAAAAAAAACATCTATTAAACATGAAAAAAAACATCTATTGAACATGAAAAAAAACATCTAATAAACATGAAAAAAAACATCTATTAAACATGAAAAAAAACATCTAATAAACATGAAAAAAAACATCTATTAAACATGAAAAAAAACATCTAATAAACATGAAAAAAAACATCTATTAAACATGAAAAGAACATCTATTAAACATGAAAAAAAACATCTAATAAACATGAAAAAAAACATCTATTAAACATGAAAAGAACATCTATTACACATAGAAAAACATCTATTAAACATGAAAAAAACATCTATTACACATAGAAAAACATCTATTAAACATGAAAAAAACATCTATTACACATAGAAAAACATCTATTAAACATGAAAAAAACATTTATTAAACATGAAAAAAACATATATTAAACATGAAAAAAACATCTATTAAACATGAAAAAAACATCTATTAAACATGAAAAAAATATCTATTAAACATGAAAAAAAAATCTATTAAACATGAAAATTAAACTGATAACATTATAGAAAATTAACTTTGATAACATTATAGAAAATTTTGCATAAAAAAAAAAGAAAGAAAGAAAAAGGAAAGTATTCAAATTTATTAAAAAACTTTGGCATATAAAATTCGCTGAATGATCACACACGAGCAGTGAACGTCTGAGGGAAGAAATGAAGTTTATTAGAATAAAGGAGAATTATTTATCGAATGAAGCATATTTTGACAGTTGTCAAGACAAAAATAAAGATTAATAGAGAAAAATTTTAAAACAAATAAGACAGACAATGCACCTAAACAGTACTTACAATAATAATAAAAAATTGTTTTATAAACACTAATATGAATGAAGATATAAAACAAATATATTACCAAACAAAAACTTAAAAAACAAAAAATTAATTAACAAAAAAAAAGTTTACATACAACAATGTAAGGCTTCAGAATAGAAAAAAAAAATTAATCCTAATGTGAAAAAAAACAACAAACAACATAATTTGTGTAGTGATAAAGTTATAAACATCTCCTCAGAGTCGCGTCTACAATTACTGGCGTTTTGATGAGGATCAGCACTTATAACTAGTTTATCCCGTCAGACAAATGTCATCACCACTTATGCTTTACCCCGCGACATACGTCTTATCCATACTGCACTAAAATAGCCAAACCCCAACCATACCCAAATTTGTAAAACACATATTTTTTTTTGATGATATGATATAAAAAGTATAGATCTACTGTACAATAAAAATAACTAAATAAATGACTTATACCACCGGTAGAAAAAACTAAGCACAACAAATTAAAATTCTAATAAAAACACCAGAACAAAACTAAAGCAACTAAAGTAAAGTAAACAGAAAATACTAATAAATTTCCCCTAAATCCATTTAAACCAAATAGGTATTTCCAGCATAAATAAACCAAAAACGATAAAATGGCAATATACTCTATAAAAACCCTTTTTTTAAAAAAAACACAATAGAGTCTTCAAAAAAAACTCTAACTCTAATACTTCAATTGAACTTTGTTAACTAATCTAAAATGTAAGAAAATGAACAACCCGCGCAACTTAAAATCATCACTAAAAATCAAGTAATATATGGCAGTAGAAAATAAAATTAAAAAAAAGCCCTTTAATGACCTTATCATCATTTGCAAACTTTTATCACTCCCCCATGCAACATGAGAAAAGATAGAAGAGCATAAAAACAATAGCTTCCAGGTGAGAAAAAATAGATGTAATTTTTAAATTTTGATCCCGTGGGCTAATAACCCTTCTATGTCACATGTGTAAGCAAAAGAAGAAAAACAAAGAAATTATTAAAGCTTTACTTTTAAAAATTTTCAACCATAAAAATTGATTTAAAATTGATTTAAATCAAATTGTGTATTTAACAATTATCATGTTAAATACACAATTGTATAAATAAAAACAAAATTTATAAACACTTTGACAAATTGAAAAATTTACATCTAAAGACGGTTTATTTTAAACAATCTTAGACATATTTGATTATTTCATTAGGTTAATGGAATGTTACAAGCGATCTCAAGCAAATCTTGTTAACAAGTTCGATAAATAACCATTTATAAAATTTGTTTACAAGTTTTAATACTTATATTACTTGATAAACAAAAAATTATAAAAAGAACTGTACAGATTTTCTAAACTTTATTTATGAAATCTAAAAACATATTTTATTTATGCTTTACTTTATACTTTCAAAATAATGTTAAGAAATAAAACTTTACTTGTAATAACTATCTAAAAAACTTGCTAAATTTTTTCATTCAGAGAAAAAAAAGTCATAAAAAAGCTCCATAAAAAAATTGTTGCTCAACTTTTGGTGTCAATAAATTTGCAATTTTAATAAAATGATAAAATTAAAAAACTATGAAAAATACTTTTATTAGCAATAAAAATTTTTAAAACAAGTTAAAAACTTCTTTACTTTTTATACCCATTAAACACATGCATATTTTTCTGAAATTACTTAATAATAGTAATGCAACAAAGTTTTAAAAACTTACCCAAAATAGACAAATAAAGTAAAGATTCTCCATATGATTTTTTTGAAGGATTTAAGTTAACAAGAAACTTTAAAAACTATTTTGATTTTTATTAGTTAATCCACAGATCATTGATAAACAATTCTTAAGCTTTACATTAGCCAAAATCTCTTCACTACTTAAACAATTGTATGCATATACAGATGCACAAAACTCCATTACTGTCATATGTGCAAACTGGTAATGATAGCCAAGATGTGTTTCAACTCTTTCAATAAAACCAAAAAAACTTTCTTCGACTCCATTTAAGTCATTAATAAATGGCAAAATTTCCTCTTCCGAAAAAATAATTTTATTTTCAATAAACAATTTATAAGCTATCTTACAAATATTCAAAACATATTTCTTGTTACTTTCATTATTCATTATTTGATAAACTAATCCATTGTTTTTGATAATGTGCTTTTGAAAAAAGTATAAAAAAATATTCGCATACAAATCTGTCATTGTTAAGTAAGAAGTTGTATATATTTTGTTTGAATCACTAATAGTTTTACACATGGCAGATAAATAAAATGGAACAGATCCCATGGCTTTTGCAATTGGAGATTCCTTTAAAGTTGTCTTTACAACTTCTTTTTTTTCGTCAACGACATTTTTGTCTACATAATTATTTATTCCATTCTTGCTAAACCCCATTATTTGAATGGTTAACTTATCATTATGCTCTGGAGATATACTTTGGTATTGATCAATTGCATAAACTCGACCAGCAACTACATGTTTGTATTTTTGAATTTCTGCTAAAGCATTAACAATTGGATAGTTACAAGTCAAACTTGGATTTATTAATTCATTTAAATATTTAAACTCATCTAATCCATCAATCACAAATATTATGTTATGGTTATTGATATCAATATCTTTTACAAAATTTTTGTAGAAAACATCAAGTAATTTGTTTATGTTAGAAATACTTTGATAAAGATTAAGCATTCTGCACTCAAAATAAAAGACAAATTCTATTTTATCCCAAATAAGATTATTAGCCCAATCAAGCACACATTTTCTGAGCAACCAAGACTTACCAATTCCAGCTATGCCTGAAATTAACAGTAAAGATTTTTCATCTTTAAAAACATCATTGTAAGGTACCAGTTTATAATTTAATTGTTTTTTAAGAAATTCTATTCGTTCAACGGTACAAAAAGCATCTTTTTGCACATTTACTGCATCAACAATAGATAGTTCAATAAATTTATCTAATAAATCAACATTAGCAGGTGTTTTTAGAGGGGGTTCAAATTCATCAATTCTCTTAAACTTTTGAATATAAAAATCTTTCAGTGCAACAGATACATTCAACTCATCTAAATATAAAATAAAACGTTTGAACCATCATTGTGGTTGTCAAAATAAGAAAATAATATCACATGTCAAAGAACAAAATCATTTATTACTATTATTTTTTTGTTAATTTATCTCCTCATAGCCAAGAAGGCCACTACAGACAAGGAGACTACTTATTTGTGGTTATAACCCTCTCTCAACTCTATAACTCCAAAACAAGAAACTGAATTTGTTAAGTTAATAGTCATTGATTAAAAAGTACATCATTTAGAAAATTTCACTTAAACATTTTAAACAAAAACAATAATGATATATTACTATTTTATTTTTTTTAATTTTACTTTCTTGTTATATAAATGGTCTACTGTTAAAGCGTTGTTTTTTAATTATGTTAATTTTCATGATTTAAAATTTACTATATCAATCAATAGTCAACAGTTAAAGAGAAAATAGAATTTTATACAATTAAATTAAGAATATTGCTTACTGACAATATTAAAAAACTGGGTTTTAATTTTAAATGTTATTGCCTTTTTGTGCTGCTATGTTGTTTTTGTTGGCAATTAGAAATTTTGTAATGCCTAAAATAAAATAAATATATATTATTATAATAAATATATTTTACTTATATATATATTTATTGCAATATTTTAGGGTACTTCTAACACCTTATTAATAATATAAAGGGGCAATAAAATGTAAATGCTATTAATAAAATGTTAAATGCCTTAAAATGTAACACTTGCGTGTAATAGCATATAATGACAAAATGTTAAAATACTGTGTCTATGCCACCTCAAAAAATAAACATTACCTATTTAAATACATCTTGGAGTTGCGTAATTTTTAATGGAACCCTCTTAGGTGATTACTTTACTATCTGGTACTTTTGATATAAATATATACACTGCCACTCACAGAAATTAAGACAATGGAGATTTTTTCAAAAAATCAATATTAATATGTAACTACGTTAAAGAATTTTTAATTTATAGTAATAGAAATTATATTTTTTATACATATTTCAATATAAAATATATTTTTAGTCAGTTTTATGCAATAAAACTTTATAAAATCTATTATAATAATTAAATTTTCTTTTCGTCAAAAAAACCATTAATTTAATAACGGCTTTAACTATTCTCGGCATTCTTTCAACTAATTTTATAATTGTTTCTTTCTAAATATTTTTCCATTCCAGTTCTATAATGTTCTATGAGATTTTGATGTTGGTCATACAGTTCTTATTTTTCTATCCAGTTCATCCCATAATAACTCAATGGGGTCTGGGCTTCATTTATTTCCAAAAACTTTAAATTTTAAAAACTTTAAATTTTCATCAGTTCATAGTACTTTTTCCATTCATCCATCGCCCAATTTTTTTTTGGCTATTGACTAGCATGACGTAGAGTGCAGGCGGTGAGATCTGTTGCAAGGACACGCCCCTGACGAGTGGCATTAGTGCAGGTCTCAAGCTCTCCGAACTGTCATTGGTGATCGCAGTGCATTCCTGAGGAGGGGGATCACTATTCATCCACTTCTTAATTCTAATTGGTTATTATAAAACTAACATTTTTTTTTACCTCTACAACCATGAATTTCTGCCCTTTATGAGCTTTTTATTATGATTTTGTTACATTAACGACATTTTTATATTTTGTTACACAGATGATTATCAGTTCTCAATTTATTATCTAGAGTTTAGACCATATACAGTACCACATTTATTATACTTTTTTTTATATTGCTCCAACTATGATTTATTATCATTTTACTTACTATTTTACTATCTACTTATTTTATTGTTTTTGTATGCTGCAATTATTTTAGTAATGGATACTATTAATAAACCAGCGGATTTATATTGACTTGTTTACTCATAAATTATTGTTTTATCATTTGCTAAAGATGACTAGAGTGTGAGCTATGGTTCCACTCTTCCTGAGTCGCTAACTTTTACTCCTGCTACTAAATAGTCTTTACATTAACTTATGTTTTTTTACCTAAATGATATCATCTACAATCTGTTTTTATTTTCACATCTCCGAGGTCTAGGTAACTGGACAGCTCCGTTGGTCACTTTTTGCTATCTTTGTGTCGCATAAGCAAAATTTATTTTTGAAGTTTAAGGGTCTATGGCAAGGGTTTGCCACCATGACAAGTGCCTGGCAATGGATGGCATAATTTCTAATACTACTTCAAAGAAAATTGTAAGAAAATTACGCTTTATAATTTGACATAGTTTAACTGATACTTTAAACACCTTTGGTACCTGTTACCAGTTAAAGCCACAATGATCTAAAGTACATAGTTGATCATTATTTCTACTCGTGTTAGGAGTATGTGATGAGAAATTTTTAGCCTTTATAAAATAAGGTAGGTCTGGCAGGCTTTTAGGCTAATAAGTAAAAAAATAATGTAAAATCATTTTATAAACATGTAAAGTTTTATATATGGGTCAAATCATTATATTTCAACCAATTTTGAAAAAACTTTGTGGGCACCATCTCTGATTTCCCTGATTTTTACATATCATTATCTACATTATGTAGATAGGTTAAATTTGAAATTTCAGACTTCCAAGTGCAACGGTTAAGAAAATATAGCTCCATAAAAACTGCGCAGTGGCCCCCCTCGATTTAAGAATTGTAAAAACAGACTACTTTAAAGCCTCATAACTTTCAACAAGTGTCTCATTTTTTCTAGAAGTGTTTTCTGGGTAGTTCTGTATTAAAAATACTGGTTTTTGTTGACTTGTATCATATTAGAAAAAAATTATAGCCTCCTCAACATCGAAAAAAATTTGAAAAATGCTAAAAAAGGCCAAAATGAAAATAACTGTAGTACTTTTCTATTCTGCAACAAGTCGCTACAGTTTTGTTTTCTGATTAGCTAATCTTATCTACAACAAACAGGCAAAAAATAAGCCGCTTGTTGCAGTTTAGAACTGAAATACATCTAAAAATGTATTGTCCATTTGCCAAAAAAGTCCCATTTTCAGCCATTTTGAAATGCTCATAATTTTTTCTAACAATTTGTATTGATCTAAGCTTAACAGCAATAAAGACCATAAGATCCAAATATCTGAAAATGCAATCATTTTTTACTTGTTGCATTCACATCAAAAATGGCAGCATTTTAAAATAGCCCTACTTTTTAATTATCTAGGGTTGAATGCATTATTAGAAACCAGTGCCCCCCCCCAACCTGCCTAATCGCATATTTAATGGGTGCAACTGATTATAAATTGTTTCTTAAAAAAATAAAATATATGGTTGATTGCCCCCATGCTGATCTATTTTTTAACCTGGGTAGGGGCACAAATAAAGGGGCAATTATTAGTTAAAACCCAGTATTATTGTTAAATAGTAATACTTTAAATATTGTTTACACAATTAAGGAGTGTTTTATCTCAAAGTCAAAGACCTATGATTTTTTACAAAATAATGTTGAACATTTTTTAATAAGACTTTCATAATATATCAAGGGAATATTCATGATACATCAGGGTGCTTAAAAAATATAATAACTTCTATAAAAGAAATAAATAATGATCAATAAAGGAAAAAGTCGAAGCTTGTTAGAAACCACTTTTATTATAAGGTTTGGTTTTTACTTTTTAACTGATAATTAGTTGCTAATTCAAAACAATTAATGCAGTATAATTTATTTAATCTTGTTTTTTATTAAATAGGAGTAAAATCCTCTTGTTTTTTGGAGCTCAGGCTCATTTAATGTGGCAATAATGTCATTAACTGGATACAAATGGATATCTGGTGTTTTTGGATATTTGAAATAATTGCCAGCTTTATGTAAACAGCTGACAGATATGTAGTCATCTTTAACATCTATCACCTTTCCAGGAAAAAATTCACCAAAATAATGCGCTAATACCCAATCAGCAATATTGATGTCAACAGTTACTGACTTTTGTGTATTAATGCAAGTATCTTCCAGCATGTGAAAAATGTCAAAGGTTGTGCTCATTGATGTTACATAGGCTTTTAAACAACACAATAAAAGTGAAAAACAATGATATGAGCGGGTTCCTTTGATAGCAGAAAGATCCTCAAATCGTTTAGCAAGAACTTCATGAGTGTTAACAGCTGTTTCGTTTTCAGAAATATAGAGAAATCTAAGAATAAATATTAACATAAATCTTATAATCCAAGAACATAATTTTAAAAATATATTTAGTAAGCTCTTATTTTAAAGTACCATTTTCTTTATAATTTTTCTTATAAAAAACTTATACCAAAAAGTTCAAAATTTGTTTTATTAGGATTGACATCCATTACTTGAAAAAAAATCATAACCAAAATCTATGTGCATTTAGACAACAAAGTGCTATACCTGATGTTTTTAAAACTTTCTTTAGCAACTAAAAACATGTCCTTTGGTGTCAAAATTTGATTTCCAATTGGCCTTTGGAGGGACAGGTTGTTAATTACTCTTTTCACTGTACCACCTACTCCGTCACATGCACTTTTTCCATGTGCAGTGCCAAAAAAATGCCAATCTGCTTTCAGTCCGAAGTCTTTTTCATGAAAGCAAAGGTTTTTCAAATTAAACCTATAATAAATTAAGAAAAATTATATTCATAAAGTGAAATCAATAAATTTAATAAAAAAACAATATCCTAATTATTCTATAGCAAATTTGAAAAATATCATTCCAATAGCTGAATTTGGTTTGTTTAGAATTGGTTAATCAGAATTTTTTGAATGACGTGAACTAAAAATTAACCTACCTATTTTTATACTGGCTGCCTGCACCATCAGTGAAATAATGAATCTTTTGAATATTTGGATATTCTTCTTTCAGAATAAATACGACTTTTGAAACATAAGTGAAGACTGCCTCAGTATTGTGAATCAGATTGTCTGATATAATGCAATAACATTTGCTTTCTAGGGTCAGGTTTCCATTTAAAGATCTCATATATATAATAAATGGATGAAGAGTTGCCTGATTTTTAGAAAAATATGATGCCTGAATTTCATCCTGTATGACAAATGAAAAATTTTCAGCAAAACCCATTTGTATAATACATTCATTTGCTTTCAGGTTTTCTTTTAACTGCTTTAAAAAGTATGTCTGAGATTTGCTGACATAATGATGTTTTGTGAGTTCATATAAGTTGTTTGTTAAGTCTTCAAGAAACTCATCAAGGTTTTTAACTATTGTTTCTAAGGAGTATCTATCAGTTTTCAACCATTGTTTATAAGTTTATTCATTTGCTGAATCACCAACCAGATCATTTAACTTTATTTCAATTCTTTCTTTTCCGGGACAGTTTTTACACTCGTGAAACATACATTCTTTATTTTCTAATGAGCATACAGCTAAGGCCATCAGTTCTTTTAATTTTAATTCATTTTTAAATGCTTTTACCATTAGATTTGGATTTTGATGGTGGATACAAACACAGACGGTATGGGGGCCAGATTTTCCAGCAAGTAGACAGTGTTTTGGCCTTAAAAGAGCAAATGATGTTAATCCTACCTTAACAATATCATTAGAATTTGATTCTTTTATCCATTTTTGGTATAGTTCTGAAAGATTACATAATACGAGTCTCTTCTAAATGTGCTTTCTGCCTTCAACTGTTTTTATGCTAATATAATCCTTTCCACCTGGCAATAATATGCTATTGCTATCATCTTCATAAAAGTTGACAATTTGATTTATAACTTCGGAAGTCAATTTTTTTGGATTTCATATGTCAGTTGATTTTTCACCAAGGATTTCTTTATTGTCCCGCAAAGCTCTTGCTTGCTTTACCATATATTGTGTTGTTTAAAATCATTTATTGTTTCCTGAATGGTCCAATGGACAGGAACTAAGGTGAGTAATTTTATTTTCTTTGAAATACTATTCTCATTATGAAACTTTTATTTTAGCTGTTCTACTAGATAATCTAAAGAGGAGATTTTAAGCGTAGCAATTTGTGATGCTTCTTCTTCAAATGAATTCAAAGACTCATTTAACACCTTAACTTTTTATTTTATTTTATTGTCATATTGTAACATGCTCATGCTTAATGATCTTTCAATTGGCGACAAACCAAATTTTATAAGACAAGGATTTAGGTTATCAACTTGTAAAACAGAGTTATCAGGTAATACATAATCTGGATCTTTTCTCTCCTCAACTGCTTCAACATTCTTGAGTTTTCTAACGCAACTAAAACATATTTTTTTCCCAGGAATTAAAGCAGAGTTTAGTTGATTATGCTCCAAAGTGACAGTTGTCAGATTTCCTTTAACAATCTTTGAATGAATTAAGAAAGGGTCACAGCATGACTTATGAAATGTTGGATAGTATTTAATAAATTGTAGACTATGATGAGTACAAATTGTATGCAGCTTATGCAACAAGTTTATATATACAATATATATATATATATATATATATATATATATATATATATATATATATATATATATATATATATATATATATATATATATATATATATATATATATATATATATATATATATACATAATGGTACATTATTCAAAATCATTATATTTTTAAATAAATAAACTGACTACTGATCTATATTTCTAATTTACAGCTCATTTGCATTTTCTAAAATATCACAATTCAAATTATGCAATCCTTATTATAATAGTTTCATTTGTATTGTTCTATTATACATAGTCACGGCTGTTTCAAACCGAGCTTAACGGCTTCTTGTTAATTTTTGAAAATATTGACTAAAGGGGTGTTACTAAAACTTTTATAACTTTTGAAATATAAGAGGTAATTTTGTTTTGTAAAAACAATTAAGACATCAATAAAATGTTTTACCTTATGACATTTAATGCATTAGTAGAAAAACTTCTTTTAGTTTAGAATAAATATGACATATATTGAATTTGGCTAAATTTTTGTAATTTGATGTTACTTTTTATCAAAAAAAAAATAGAAAAATATATTCCTAATAGTTATTATCAAATACACTTATTGTTTGACAATAATGAAAACAAAAAAACCTTACTTAATTATTTAAGGTTAACTAAAACAGCCTTAATCGAATTGTGAAAGCAAACCACATTTTTCGCAAAATTATGAAAAACGTCGTTATAAGGGGGGATTAGTTGTTAAATGAGTACTTTTTTTAATATAGAAGTTCTTGATTTAGAAAATTATTTTGGAACGCTGATAAAATCATTACATTACAAAATAAAGTTCTAATAATATGGTGTTAGGTAGTTAATAAATAAAAACTCATCAATTCTAATAAAATAATTCATGACCAAAATTGAGTTAAAGGTTTTGAATTAACCTAGCTTTTGGTAGTAGAATTATTTTATGGTACTTGTATCAATAATCTCTTCTCACAAAAAATAAAGTGTTTAAATATACACAAATAGCTGATTTAAATCTTTTGATAATTCGTTTTTATTTTCATTAAAAACTGTTTTATAATTAGTTGGTCCATTGATATGTTCTTCAAGCAGTAAACTATCTTTGAACACCCAGATGATACTAGACTCATACATAATTCATTTAAAACCAGAAGAACATTTGGTCAACTTGGCAATTGTGATAATAAAGTTTACAACTTCTTAATTTATCAAGCTAAATTTTTACACCAACTTGATAAATGAGACTTATATTCCATTCTTTAACCAGAGAGGAGGTATGTAGAGCAGAGGTCCTGCGAAGGTAGAACTAACTTTTGATGATAAAAATTGAACGGAGATCTAATATATATAAAAAATGTTACATATTACATAACAAAGGATAAAACGTTTTTTGAATTAACTACATAAACATACAAAATCATATCCAACAAACATACCAGTTGCTCTGATCACAAATTAAAATAGTTAGCTATACATTTGATGCTAGACTTTTATTCCATTCTTTAACCTGAGCAAAGGCATTGCATAGATATAATAAACTTTTGAAAATAGGAACAGAATGGGCATCTACCTAATATATAAAATCATTGTAATAAAAAATTATTATTATTTTGAACAAACATTACAGGCATTAAAACAGAATAGAATTCTCTTATTTGTAAATTAAGGATCTTATATAATTTATCTTAGATGTAAAAAGTTTAATTTTTTTTTTAACTTTTCAAACATTTAAACTAAATTTGATGACCACAAACAAGACAAAGACCTTGTCTATAAAATGAATTTTCGCCACGCTCTGAACACACAACACACTTTCTCACCTTAGAGGCTTGAAGCTTCCTATCAGCTTTGCTGTGCAATTCAAAGCGTTTTAAAACAAGATGCAGCTTTTGCTCCTGATTTCTAACTGAATGCAACTGCCTTAATTCCTTATTTACGCTATTATGCAAACACTCTCCCTCCTCTTCACTCAGCAACCCAATAGTTTTATGCAATTTTACAAATAGTGGCACATTGAAAATGAGTTCATGCATTTTTCGCGTGATACTTTCTTTTGGAAAGCAAGCATGAAACTCAATAGCAAATAAATTTATATATTGATGAAGCTCAGAAATTTCGGCATCAGAAAGAAATTTTCGCTTAAAAAGAATAGGTTGCAAGTTATTAAAAACACTAAACACACGTACAAATCTATTTTTAATTGCTTCATCATCAATAACACTACAAAGTTTATAGTGGTTTCTTAATACTATTTTACAATGATTACCTACAAATACATTACCATGGTAAGCTTGTCGCTCAACTTTCATATCTTCAAGGGCCTTATAAAGAGACCTCTCATGAGTCCCCATGCTACTTATAAATATTTTTTCTAGGTCTTCACACTCTATCTGCAATCGAATATACTCAACGTCTAAAACTTCGCGCTGTGCGCGTATAAAAGAAATTTTTTCAGAAATATAAAGGTCAAGACATTCTAAATCTTCACCCTGACATGCTAAACACTCATACTTCTCTATATCACACAATACATTCTTTTCCGAACCACCAATAATTTCACAAAATTGATGGAACAATTTTTGGCACGTACCACACTGCACCCAATCAATGTTACAATCATATTTAGTAATTAAACACCTGATACTAGCACACTTTTCTTGCTGTTTACAGGTTTTTTTTTTATTGGAGGAGTTTAGAGATATGCATTCCAATTCAGAAATATTTTTATCAAAAGCTAACCAACGAGTCTGTAGATTTGCAACGTCTACAAATTGATTTCCTAATAAACGTAAAGAGTCTGCTGTTTTAGAACATTCAAAGCTTTTAGCAGCCCACAATTCATTCGTTCTCACATTCTCATTATGCGACAAAGACGAAACAGCTTGACAATCCAAAATCTTACACTCCTTCAACAATAACTTATAAAGTTTTAACACAACTCCTAACATAATATGCAAAACAGGTGGCACTACATTATCTAAAGTTATTATGGGGAAAATCACAGGAGCAATAATTGAATTATGAAACTTACCTAGAGCTCTTAGGTTTCCACCTTGTCTATCTTCACACAAGTTCTCATTGTAAGCACTTTCCAGAGATTGTATTGTCCTCCTTAAGATGTTACAATTAGCAGGTGTGTGAGGCATAGAAGCATGGTTTCTTAGAGAATTCAACTTAACTAGGTCTGTAGAACTAGGAAAGCTAGCAGCTGAACCCTGGTGTCCCAGAACATCATCGATAAAATGAAAATCTCCACCTAAGAACAACCTGACTATTTTGCCTTTTAGCTTAAAATCTGACGACTGAATTCTTTTAATGTCGTTGGCATAATGCCCGAGAACTAAGGCAATATTCTCACGACAGTCTGAACCCTGATACATACAAAATAAATGAACATCATATACAGACCCTGATGATTTAGAATTGACAACTTCAAAATGGAATTTCATATACTTCCCACCCTTATCCCCAGCAAAAAGGAGCCATACCTCTTCGCAAAAACCGACATCAGAATTGAAGTGGTCACAAACGTGCAGACTATTGAAAACCTCTTCAATATAAGTTATCAAATTCTTGACCATCAATACAGGTACTAAACAAGGTGCTTCATTCGCAGATGGATAAAGCAACATGGACTTTACAGTAACATGTTCTTTACTAACATGCATTGTCCGCATTTCTTGTTCTTGTCTTATCTTGGGCTCAGATGGGAGAATCCTTGCACCAAGATTACACAGAATACGTCTTAGCCTACGGAATTCAGCCGTGGGCATCCTTAATTGGCTCTGCAGCTCTACAGCATCAGAAACACTTAACTGCCTAACTAAACCCAACTTATTT